TATCACGGTTCGCTTTCACCGAGCAAATCAGGGTTCGATTCCCTGTACCGGAGTTACTTTTTGTTCCAGCTTTTTATTTCTGCATTGCACTTCCTACCTTTTTTTTGATGGAACGCTCGTTTGTTTCTGCTCTTGCTGGTTGCATTATTCGAGCGCGATCGGTTAAGTTTCGCGATCCTATCTAGAGAAAGCTAACTAAGGGCTCAGGAAATCTCTTGAATTATGTAAAACTCGTTGGCATGCTAGTGCATTGCCGTCCTTGGTCTTATGAGACCGTGCATTCACCAAGCCGTGTCTTAAAACGGCACTTGGCTCCCACCTAATTAGTACATAGCCGCACGATACCCCAGTCATGGAGGTCGTGAACTCAAATGCTTAATATGGTACCATCAACACTGAGATGTCTTTCATGTACCCGCCAACTGGTAAACACGTCCCAACTGTGCTAACTCCCAGCCAAGCTTGGTACCAGATCGACCCAGACCATTTCAAGAAGATCAACACATGGAAGAAGAGATTTCCGTCGACCCCCGAAACGAACTCAGTGGAAAAGATGCAGCCATACCTTGAAGGAATCCGAACTTACACTGAAAAAGCTGACTACACCCACGAAGCTCACAGTTTCATCTTTGCCCTTGAATCTTGCCTCAAAGTGCATATCGAGAAGCATGATCACGAAGGAAAATTTAAATTGACCAAGCAAAGACCGCTGCTGAACGGCGTTGCTGGTTTCAGCGTGGCTGGCTCGGGCTCAAGTGCCGGTTCAATGGTGGTCCCCCGAGTCACGCCCCCGCAAGTCACCTCCCCGCAAGTCACCTTAACCTTGTAGCTGTTATTGACTTGTACCGCCTATCCCAAGTCATGAAGACAACTCATCGCGCTTACGTCAAGTGTTTTCCAAGCAAACGAGCACGCTGTCGGTGTACGATCTCTGCTATTTGCTGATTTTGCGTGCTCTCCAGCTGACTAAGCTTCCTCAAGTATACGTGCTGGAAGCCGCCAGTGTCACTAGAGTGGTGCGTAATAGAATGACTACTAAGCGGGGCGTGGTGCTGAGTGCTGCCGGTGTGCTCAATTTTGGACACTAACCAAGGGGTGTTGGTGCCGTTGCCAGTGCAAGACGGGGGGGGGTGCTGGTGGCGAGGCTGAGGAGGTGGTGACGTCGATCTCCGTCACTAATGATGCTCAAGGCCGGTTGAAACGAGTATCAATCACTGCTGGCGACTGCGCCATTCCGTTGTCTAAGCTCAAACAAGCGGGTGAATTGGTCACCACGAGGGCTAGGGTGGTATCCCAAGTGTGACACGAAACCCGCTAACGACGCATATATACTTTCAATATGAATTATCAAGAAGGTATCTTTGGTTATGATGTCAGAGGAAGAGACGCCGCCTCTGATGGAATTTAAGTATAATGTAGAGAGCAGAGACATCACCTTGCTCTGCAAATAGAACGAAATTGGTGTTCGACGCTCTTCAAAGTATTTTACAATAGGTAACAAGATAGTTGGAAGTCTTAGTGCCTACTCACTAGTGCAAGACAAGTTAGCAGACAAAGTAATTGTTTCCGTATTCTTTTGAGCTGCATTCTTTTGCTTTCATTGATATCATTTCAGTGAAATCAAAACAAAAGTGGTTGAAGCATTGCAATAACCGTGTTGCTTAGCTTGTTGCAGCTCAATCAACTAAATCAATCATTTGCATAATGACCTGTATATAATATCCCGCGTCAGTCGTCAACTCCTGCATACAAGGTACTCGTCGCTCGTTTAAAACTATTTCAAATTTTTTTTTTCAAGTTTTTATTCCAAAATTTTTTTTTGTCGGGAACATCTGCTGATGTCCATTACACATATATTTGAACCGTGTGGAATACAAATTTAGATTTAGAACTCATTCAACTTGTCTTATCATTGGTAAATTTTTGCCTTGAAAGTCATCCGCTACATGCAGGATCAACATGAGAACGCACATAAAAGCCTGTTAGATAACTCAGTAAATCGAACGTCAGCCTGCCCAGATATTTATCTACGATACTTCTGGTGCCAAAGAATTTTATGGTGCTAGTTACAAGTCTGTACCAAGTTTCCCTGATTTTATATCACACTTTGAAGTTTTTCTTTACGAAATTCAGAAAAATCCCATTTGCTATTGTAAACTCTATTCGCACCGTATACTCTATGGTGGTGTATTTCAATTCTTTCTAGAGCGTCACATACATGATGAAAATCCTAGTTGAAAATTCGTGGTCCATATGCACATGCAAGGCTTGTGTGCAGAATCTTAAACCTTGGAAGCACGATATCTGTGTCAGAATTTGTGTTGGCATCGATTTGACCCATCGCATTAAATGTACGTTCTCAAAGACTGTAATATCGCAAACAGAATTGAGCCAAGATCTCTGTAGATGCGTGTTACAACTCACCTTGTTGTGTCGTGCATCTTCTTTCATGCACCTGCATACAGGCATTGAACATAGACGGGTTTTATACTTCTCTCATTACTACTACAAACATTACAAGCCATTTTCAATGCTTACTGCACGTTATAGACAGCTTTGCAAACACAAAATAGTGTAAAAAAAAATTTGCTAGAAAAAAAAAAGATTTCTTTCCACTGGTAAACTCGCATAGAGACGCCAATTTTGATGTCAACTCTCCCAAAATCACCTCAAATATACTTCCAATGCCAAAGAATTTTATGAAGCTATCAGTTTGATTTTAGCGATTTTTTCTGATTTTTTAGCACACTTTTTAGTTTTTCCGTATGAAAATTCCGAAAATTCTATTTGCCGTCCTAAATACTATTTCATTAGTGATTATTACAGCGGTGTTGTTTGTTTTCTCTTAGAGTGATATATAAGCGGTGAAAACACTCGGTCAGTTCACACACGACGTGCAGTTTGAACTCCTATGTGCAGGTATTAAATTTCGGAAGCGTGATAAGTGTGCTAACAGTTGCGCTGCCCACTAGGAGACTTGTCAAGCCAAACAGACGTACATAGAGACTACAGTGGTGTTAGGCTGAGTGAATTCGTCATTCTGGAATCTTGTGGTCGAGCTCATAGTGTTATGTTCAGCAATTCTCCCAAATGCTTCTGCATACAAACGCCCTACTTCGAGGAGGTGTTGCACCACTATTACCACTGCTGCAAAACATCGCAAATTGCTTCTAGAGCCCATAAGTCAGGTTTCAGATCAGAGTAAAGATGGGGCGTAGCTACGCTGAACATAATCAACGTGATGTTCGAATTGCCCATAACGAGAGGATATGAGCCCAAAGCTTTATAAGCCTCAATTTAATTTAAAATCAGGTTATGAGCTCATTCCGAGCGCTCCCCAGAGTTCAACTTCTAAAAGCCAGTTGGATCGATCTGACGGTTAAGACAAATTGGTGGCCACTCACAGTTTTAAATATTGTGTATTATCGAATTGTCTAGTCCCAACATTTTCTACTTCAACCCCTCTAGATTCGAAGAATCGGCCTGCCCCACTGGTGTCAAGAAGTTGTTCAGCGAAATCACCGAACAAGTAAATTTCCTCCCTGTGAATGCCACACCCCAGATCATTGTCACCTTGTTCCCTCCCAGTCAACGCTACTGCGGGGCCATCAACCACGCTCTTGAGCAATCGTTGAGCATCCGCAACACTCTTCGCATCACCACCGATCGCTCCCTGGATAAGAGAGAAAAGGCACGTACTACCATGGAGAGTACTCATCAAGCGTTCATTGAGTGGACCAATAATGAATGGGCTGACAACCAAGGCGATTATGCTGAGATTCTTCCGAACCGACGTGTCCCCCTCTTTTCATGTTTGATGGCGTACACAAATGATTGGCAGCATAATGTGGCTCTCCGACAATTCATTCAGACTTTGAACCATCTGGCAGGCCCTCAGCAGCACGGAGATTATGATCAGCTCCCTGATGAACGACGAGTATAGGGGGTTTTGTCTGAGAACTCTCGCAACGTGTGAGTGTTGAGGGTTAAACCTCGAAACCTCAATGCCGACGAGAGTGGCTTGCTGGAATAGACGGGAATAGACGTGTAACACTGATCCGCATCACCATAACCAAAATAATCCTGCAAAATCATCCCTAGCTCTTCACCTTCGAGCCAATGTTAAACAATGTATTACTTATTTCGAGCTCCTAGCACATTTATCTGGCCTGAAACTGAAGAATATTTAATATTGAGTGCTTCTATTTTGAGTTATACTTACAACAATCTCAAAATTGACATTCAATTCGAATATGAAACCCTCAGTAAACGAAATATTCGCCAAATCCTTGTCACGTGAGTATGTTATGAAAATGTAAAAAATACATTTTTCCAAGAAAGCGCAAATGGTTTAGTGGTAAAATCCAACGTTGCCATCGTTGGGCCCCCGGTTCGATTCCGGGTTTGCGCAATCTTTTTCCATTTACAATACAGATGTTCGTTCGACCATCAAATCGACCCGTAACTCTATTTCTTTTCTTGAAAGCCTACACATTTACAATAATCTTCAAAACAAACTTTTTCATTAGTGGTGTATATCAAGACAGATCAACACCTATAGTACATTACACACAGACATCCCAAATCGCCTGGGGGCCGCGTTCTTCATAAACATCGGTGTCAATAAATAACTCCTTGCCGTGGTTGGAGTTAGAATTGAAGATTTGCTTGGCGTAGATTTGCGCCCCCAAGAAGTAGACGTCATTCCACACCAGCTTCGAAGGGATCTTCAGAAGCTTTTTCCACTCAGAGAAGTACTCAGGGTACTTCGCCAACCGGATCAGATGGGGCACTTGAGCCAAGTGAGCACTGTCGGTCACCTCAACGTCGTCGGTTTGCTGGTAGGCAGCGATAGCCAGGTTGATAGCGTTTTGCTTCTTTTCGTTGTCTTGAGGCTCGGTCACCAAGTATTTCTGCAGCAACTTGAGGAGCAATTGTTGTTTGAGTCCCGGAATCTTAAAGGTAGACCCCACGAGGATGATGCTGTCGTAACACTCTTGGCGCTTCTCCAAGTCGGGGATGTTTTCGAGACTTTCATAGATAGGGTCCACCAACGCATCCACTAACAGGCTAGTAGCGCTGAAACGTTCTCTACCCACAGTGACCTTCTTGCCATCTCTATCAACAAACGAGTTTTGTTCGAGCTCGGTGTTAACCTTCTTGGTGTCATTGTTTTCAAGGCCATCTTCAGTGACGATCTTCGCAACGTCAAAGTCGTCGTCCTGCTCGTCGGGACGTCCCGGGTGGAGCTTTTGTTCGGCGGCTTGGTAAAACGCTTCCGCTTGAGCGTCAGTAATCGCCTCAACGATCCCCAGGCACTTAAGGTCTTCAACTTGAGTCTCCGACAAGTTGGGCAATAGACGAGCCAATTCCTGGTTGATAGTGTTACCACCCACGCCCACAAGGTACTTTGAAGCGAAACGGATCGCCTGGTAGCCGACGACGGGGACAATTTGCACGTTGTTCTTACCAACATTAATAACTAAAGCGTTGTTGGCCAGGCCAATGCCAAACATCGCTGCCAAGGCAACGTCAATGACGTTAAACGCAGTGAACTCAAGCGTTTCCACCACGTATTTAGTGACGAGCTCCACCAGCGCCTTGGGCCACAGCAAACCCGGCAACACGAGCAAGAGCGGAATCAGCAGAATGGTGGCAATGGGGTTGGCCTGGATCACACTTTGGAGAATGACTTTGAGGAAGAAGTTAAACGCGTCGACATCCACAAGCTTGCCGTTGACAATGGGATGGACGGCGGTGAACCCGTCGACGGGTTTCCCGTGGAATTCGCGGGCCTCGCCTTCGCCCTTGGCGTACACCACCAGAGGTAACCGGTATTGCGGCGGCGAGAGCAGGTCTCGGAGCCCGTAGGTGAAGAGGGTGTACTCCAGCCCGGGGTGCACCACAAGGTAGTTCTCTTCCTTGTACAACGGCATGGTGTTGATGTGCGAAAAGATGCGACCGCCGCCTTATGGTGGTGGTGAGGCTATCAAAGAGGAGGGGGCAATAATACACGCGATACCTCGAATGAAAAATGCTTATTGCTGAAATTAAAGCATTGATTTCAATGGTTTGATTAATCTATGTTTTGGTTTTGGAGCTTGGGTCCGTGGACGACGCGTTTAGTGTTGACTACTTGTGAAATAGGTAAGTCAAGCGAGGATAATCAAAATATGATCTCTAAAATCAGCTTACATCTCTAGAATAGCTACTAATCGATATCTCAAAACAGATTCGATACCAATTGCTTATGCCTTCACTCAATTTCTCTAGTAGCAAATTGTCTTTAAGTGATACTATCAGGCTTACACAGTCAATTGGATTCTAAACCTGATTCATAAACTATCATCTAATCGGAATAAGTAATCGAGTTCTTATGGTATTTCCATGATGTCACTGTCTTATCCACTGTCTCATTTTTAAGTACCCTCACCTCGTGTCTCACGCGAAGCCTTTTTTCCTGGGGTATCTCAGCCTTACCACAATCACCCTCTTCCCTGGCTTCACCCTCCCCCAAGCACTCAAACCCCGTGGGCATGGACAAGGAGATCGTGCTAGTAGACTCCGATCCCGAGGACGACGAGGTGTCGGTGAAGCGACAACGCGTCGACACCCCCGAGGACCCGCTCCGCTTTGGCACTCCGTTCGCCGAGACCCTCACCGTGGAGGCGCCAGCGGTGGCAGCGCCCGTTCCTCCAGCTCCTCCTGCTCCCCCGTCGAAATTCCTGCTTCAATCGGACGAAAGTGATGCTGATGACGACTCTGGTAGTGATTTGGGCGAGTTCTACGAGGATTCAGCCCTCGCCAAAGTATCGCGCCGTGCACCCCTCGGTGTGCCTCGTCGTGAACTGGTGAGCGTCTCTGGTTCTGAGTCCGACGCTGATCTGTCTAGTTCAGTCATCCTTCCCGAACTTGAAGACGGTGATGTCCCGGCAATCACTCCGGAAGTGATCGCGCTGACGCGTAAGTTTCTCAAGTCTCAAGGGGTCCACGAATTCCTCCAAACGTACTTGCCGACGGCAGCTCTGGGCGACGACATTGCGCGTGTCATTCTCAAACTAGGGTTCGTGCCGCCAATGGCTCCAGAACCGGATAATTCGAATATCATGGGTCTCATTTCGTTTTTGAATCGAGTCATGACTAAAGTGATGAAGGTGCGTGACCGGTTAGAGGAAGTAAAGACTATCGACGATGCTCTCGACGCCATCCAGAAGGCAAAGAAAGTATTGGTGATTACGGGTGCGGGTATTTCTACCAGTTTGGGTATTCCTGATTTCCGGTCATCTAAAGGGTTCTACTCGCAAATCCAAAGCCTTGGTCTTAACGATCCTCAAGAAGTGTTTGATCTACAAAACTTCCACATGGATCCGTCGCTTTTCTACTCAATTGCCCACTTGATCCTCCCCCCAGAAAACGTCTACTCCCCGCTCCATGCGTTCATCAAGTTACTACAAGATAAGGGGAAGCTCTTGCGGAACTACACCCAGAACATTGACAATCTTGAAAGCTATGCGGGCATCAAGCAAGAAAACCTTGTCCAATGTCACGGCTCGTTTGCCACTGCTACTTGTGTCACTTGTCGTAAGCAAATTCCGGGGGAGCAGATATTCCCGCAAATACGAGCTCAAGAAATCGCCTACTGCCCGGACTGCAGTAAAACTAAGGACAAAATCTTGCGGAAAGACGACGACGCCTATCTCCCTGAGAGCTTTGGCGTGTTCAAACCAGATATCACCTTCTTCGGGGAACTGCTTCCTAAACGATTCCACGACACCATCGCTCAAGATCTCCGCGAATGTGACTTACTTATATCGGTGGGGACGTCACTCAAAGTAGCTCCGGTGGCGGATATCGTGGATAAAGTGCCACCGTATGTCCCGCAAATCGTCATCAATAAGGATCCCATCGATCACTGCAATTTCGATGTGAGTCTCATGGGCTACTGCGATGACGTTGCCTCCTACATCTGTAACCTTATGGGACCCGAGTGGGATATCCCTCATCCTGACTACGACAAAATTCGCGGGCCCGACGGTCTGAATTTGGTGTTTGAAGGACAAGACTTGGAATACCGCGAATACTACATCATCAATAAAGCCAAGGAAGAGGCGGAGGCAGCGGAAGCACTCAAGAAAGAGCAAGAAGCCGAAGCCGAAGCCGCGGCCGATGGCGAGCTTAACAGTGCACCAAAGCCTCTTCTCATCAACGAAGTTACACCGGCAACGACGGTGTCACTGACGGCGGAAACAACCAAGGAACTACTCACGGAACTGCAGCTTAATCTGTCGTTGGCACCAGTGTCCGAACCGTCAGTACAACCTAACGATTATTGATAACGCAAAACAGGTTTTTGCGTCTTACAATGTCCCTGATAAGTTTTGCTAGAGTTCGTTAAACATATATATATATAAAAAGCAAACGTAACATTTTTCTTTGATACAAAATGATTAGTCGACCCAGAAACCAGGCACGGGGATACCGTCACAGTGGTAGATGTAGGTCCCCTTTTCAGCATCGGTGTAACGAGGACCGATGTAACCACGTGCCTTGATTGCTTGGGTCTTCTTTTGTGCCAACTCTTCAGGAGTGTACGGCTTGTTTTCGTTCAACCCCTTAATGGTAGCACCAGCCGACGCCGCCCGCTTCTCGATATCACGTCTTCTTCTGGCAATTTCTTCAGGAGCAAGCTGCGGCTCGTCGTCAAAGTCGGGGATTTCGTGGACCGCTTCACCGTAGCGTTCCTGACTATGCCCCCCGGGAGAGTTGCCAAAGTGAGCACCAACAATGGCAGTACCAGCTAAGGCCGCAGCCGCACCACCACCCAAGGCATCAGCACGAGTATTGGTGCTAACACCACGATCGAGATCATGATCAATCTCATCGTCGTCGCTTTCCACCAAGGTCGTGTCCCGAGGAGTGGTGCGAGGAGTGTCAAATGACGGGTACGCCGGTGACTGCGATCTCACCTTGGCCCGGTCCACCGAGAACTCCGCGGGTTTGTGACTAGTCTGGTTCGTTTGAGGAGAGTAATTGTCAATCAACTCGTCCAACGGCAGCTTCTTCAGGTGGGTAGCGGTAAATTCATTGCCAAAGCCAGCAGTAATCTCGTCGTTTTGAATATTGTCGAGATTAGCCTTGGGCGTAGTGTACGCCGACAGAGGGCTATTGTCGACCTCGACATAATTCCGGTGCTTGTTAACCACCTGGCCCAATTGAGCGCCAAACGCCTTACCAGGGTCAGTCAGCAGCAGACTGACATTGCGGTTCTGGTAGCCATCGTCGACAACGCCAGTAGCTCCGTAGCCGTTGTCAATGCCGAATTCTGAGGGGGTAGCCCTGTCGGGTGTGTCCAGCTGGCGGTACTTGTCAAACAGAGAGTCAGCACTGTGGACATGGTCGTGAGCCAGGCGTTGCTTCGATTGGTGGTCGCCGAGAGTCTCAGATGGTTGGTCACCGTGAGCGTGATGCTGGTAGTGCTCTTGGACAAACTGGTTAGTTCTGTCACTAGGGGATTCGCCACCAATCTGCTTGGACAGCTCAGTATAGTCACCAACCGACGGCTTCAGATCAGTGTTACCACTAGATTGATCGATTGGTTCATTGTAGCCGCGTACATCACTGAAAAGGTTTTCCCTAGGTGCGTGACCAGCAAGTCCTGGAGATGCCAGCTTTTGCTGGAAGCCATCACCACTACCACTGTGGTCGTTAGTAGTAGAACGAGGGCCACGAATAAAACTTTCGAGGGGATATTCGTCGCTGTTACCACCAAGCGCCTTCAGCTGACCGCCTTGGTTGAAACCTTCACCGATAACTGACTCCTTCACGTGGTTGGCTTGCTTGAAGTCGGATTCAGTAGCATCATAATTGGTGGATGGGTCATAAGCTGCTGGCAGATTATCACGGACCACAGCATCGTCATCGTCGTGGGCGTAGCCACCAGCTTTGGAGCCAAGAGCAGCGCCAGCAATCGCGCCAACCGCAGCACCACCGATACCGGCAATAGCACCACCGGTAACGGCACCAGCAGCAGCTCCACTCACAGGATAAGTCCCCTGAGGCAAGTAGTCGTCGCGGCTACACAGCTGCTTCAAAACCTCAGTTTCAGGCTCCAATTCGGGCTCGGAGAAGCTCGGTTCCAGGTAGTTGGTCTTACTGTAGTTGGGGCGAGCAAAGTCCGGTTCCGAGTAGTCAGTGGGCTCGGAGAAGTCCGAAAGACGGGGGTAGTCCAGTGTTGACTCGGGGTAGCCGCTCAGAGAACTGTAATTGCGGAAACCAGAGCCGAAACCCGGTTGAGCAGGAGGAGGTAAGTCGTCGTCGTAGGCCATCGACGCCCGCTTGTAAGCTTGGGGCGATCCCTTGAGTGCTCTCAGCGCCTGCAGAGGCAGCGGTGCCGAGTCCTCGTAGCCGCCCAGCATGTTGCGGTAGGCGTCACGCGTGGGAGCGAAAGGTGAAGACGGAGTTTCAGCAGTAGGCAGCGGCTCCGGTTCAATTACACCCAGAGGTAAATTGGCAGGGTTTTCCAGGAGAATGGCACCAGAAACAAACTTAGCCTCACGAGCTTCATTGGGAGTCTTCAGCACTCTTTCTTTCTCCACTGCTACCGCTTCAAAGCGCTGAGGTTGCGGCACGGGGTGGGAGTGGTGTCCCAGTTCCAAGGCGGCAATCGCGTCATCACGGCCCAGCAAACGCGAAGCGTCATTGCCACCATCAATGCCGCCATCGACATTTCTGGAAGCAGTAGGGGCACCGGCAGTAGCCGGCTTACCCGGAGTCTCGGAGGTGTAGTTACGAGACGTACTCACCTCTCCCAAGTTCAGACGAGGAGGAGGCAGGCGAGAGGACACCTTCTGGTCAATGGTGTCGTCCAGGTTGGCCAAGTCAGGGTTAACTGGAGGCGTAGGGTTGACCACCGCTCCCAGCAAGTGCTTGTTCACGGGACCTTGTTCGCGGCCAATACCAGCAAACTCACCGGCAATCGGGTACTCAGCGTCGGCAGAAGATGAGGCAGTATTGCCAGTGGTCGTAGTTTCAGACGAAGGGAAGATCGCCTTGCTCAGCCCCAGCGAGTGGGTGTGACGGTGACCCTGGCTAGGCGGCTGAGAGGCGGTGCTAGCACGGTTGCTATCGCCGTCAGCGGGCCGCAGTCTCTTCGTCGAGGGCTTACGGGTAGCTCCGACAACACCAGCAGCGCCGAGGGCACCGATGATCGCCAGCGTCCCTCTCAGATGGCCACCAGTAGGGTTGCCATACTCGTCGCCCTCATCACTGAAACCAAACAGTTGAGCGGCTTTCGGCAGCATCGGCACGGGACTAGTAGGCACCGGAGAGTGGGGACCAGGACCTAAGTCGAGACGAGGGGAGTGAGGGGGGATCTGCGAAGCCCGCACGGGACGAGTGCCGACATCGTGGGCCACGCCAATCAGACCAGCGTAGGGTACCAGCGCATCGAAATCTTCCTGGTTATGACTTACCAGCTTCAGTTGGGGGATCTGTACGTTCAGCGGTTCCCGGTTCATCACGTGGCGTGACACGGGGGTCTCTTGGGGGGCACCGTGGCGAATGGCGTCGACGTCAAAGTCCCGCAGCGCTGCTCTCCGGTGAGTGTGCTTGGGAGGAGCAAGACTGCTGGGTTGTTGAGACTGTTGAGAATGCTGAGAATGCTGATTCTGGTGGTGGTTG